TGCTTTGTTGAACTTCCATGATCAAGGATATGGTTTTCCATCTGTTCTCGCCGAGTCCCTTAGTCGAGGTGACTCTTTAAACTTTTCTTTTCTCTTTGAAACGACTCGAGGTTAGTGCCCCATTGCTTTTTAATATACACTCGCCGAGTCCCTTAGTCGAGGCGACTCCTTTTGGCTTTTTCTCGGAAACGACTAAGGATCTAGGCCCTTGTTTCCTATCTTTTCTCACCGAGTCCCTCAGTCGAGGCGACTACTTTTGGCTTTTTCTCAGAAACGACTAAGGGTCTGGGCCCTTGTTTCCTATCTTTTCTCGCCGAGTCCCTCAGTCGAGGCGACTCCTTAGGCTTTATCTCGGAAACGACTAAGGGTCTGGGCCCTTGTTTCCTATCTTTTCTCGCCGAGTCCCTCAGTCGAGGCGACTCCTTAGGCTTTTTCTTTTCTTTGAAACGGTTTAGGGTCAGTGCCCTGTTGCTTCTTTATACACTTGCCGAGTCCCTCAGTCGAGGCGACTCCTTTTGGCTTTTTCTCGGAAACGACTAAGGGTCTAGGCCCTTGTTTCCTATCTTTTCTCGTCGAGTCCCTCAGTCGAGGCAACTCCTTAGGCTTTTTCTTTTCTTAGAAATGGTTTAGGGTCAGTGCCCCGTTGTTTCTTTATATACTCGCCGAGTCCCTCAGTCGAGGCGACTCCTTTTGGCTTTTTCTCAGAAACGGCTAAGGGTCTGGGCCCTTGTTTCCTATCTTTTCTCGCCGAGTCCCTCAGTCGAGGCGACTCCTTAGGCTTTTTCTTTTCTTAGAAACGGTTTAGGGTCAGTGCCCTGTTGTTTCTTTATATACTCGCCGAGTCCCTCAGTCGAGGCGACTCCTTTTGGCTTTTTCTCAAAAACGACTAAGGGTCTGGGCCCTTGTTTCCTATCTTTTCTTGCCGAGTCCCTCAGTCGAGGCGACTCCTTAGGCTTTTTCTTTTCTTAGAAACGGTTTAGGGTCAATGCCCCGTTGTTTCTTTATATACTCGCCGAGTCCCTCAGTTGAGGCGACTCCTTTTGACTTTTTCTCGGAAACGACTAAGGGTCTGGGCCCTTGTTTCCTATCTTTTCTCGCCGAGTCCTTCAGTCGAGGCGACTTCTTAGGCTTTTTCTTTCTTAGAAACGGTTTAGGGTCAGTGCCCCGTTGTTTCTTTATATACTCGCCGAGTCCCTCAGTCGAGGCGACTCCTTTTGGCTTTTTCTCGGAAACGACTAAGGGTCTGGGCCCTTGTTTCCTATCTTTTCTCGCCGAGTGGAGGGCAACGATCGAGGGTAGAAGGTGTCCTTTTATTAGATTTTGAAAACTCGAGTACACGCCTAACCTCTTTATTGGTAGAACTTCTTTAAATGGACGACATTCCAGAGTCGGTCTATGGGTTTTCCTTCCAGGGTCTCGAGCTTGTAGGTACCGACCTGCACCACTGATGCAATGCGATAAGGTCCTTCCCACTTAATCGCAAATTTGCCCCCTTCCGTGGGCTGGCTTGCCTGCCGGTCCCGCAACACGAGGTCGCCGACCTGGAAGGCTCGTGGGCGAATCCTCCGGTCACGGTACCTTTTTACGGCTTGTTGGTATTCGACCATCCGGGCGCACGCCACCTCCCTTCTCTCTTCTAGGAAGTTCTTTTCAATTCTAAGGCTTTCTTCGTTCTCTTCGTCGGAATAGCTGCGAACTCGGTAGGTGGGCTCCACGACCTCCACAGGAACCTTGGCTTCAAAACCGTATGCTAGGGAGAATGGGTTCTCTCCCGTCGCCCGTCTTTGTGTGGTTCGGTAGGCCCAGAGGACTCGGTCAAGCTCATCCGCCCAATTTCCTCCGATGTCCTCCAACTTCTTCCGGATCCCGTCCACTATGGTCCGATTCGCGTTCTCGACCTGTCCGTTCGCCTGGGGGTACGCGACGGATACCTTGGTGTGACGGATATCGTGTCGACAACAGAAGTCGGCGAACGCTTGGCAATCGAACTGTCAACCGTTGTCGCTAACGATATGCTCGGGCAGGCCAAAGCGGCAAACCACCTTCTTCCGTAGGAAGCGTCGGCATTGATATTTGGTGATGGTGGCTAGCGGTTCGGCCTCGACCCACTTAGTGAAGTAATCGATGGCCACTACGCAGAATTTCAGGCTTCCCGGGGCGACTGGTAATCGCCCCAACAAGTCGATCCCCCACTTGGCGAAAGGGATGGCTGTGGTGACTGGTGTGTAGAAGGTGGCCGGCCGGGTGTCCTTCCTGGCGAAGGCTTGGCAAACGCCGCACTTTGCTATCCACTCGATGCAATCTCGCATCATGGTCGGCCAGTAGTATCCTTGGACGACTAGCTTCCGAGCGAGTGTGTGGGCACCCTGGTGAGCGGCGCAAATGCCCCTATGAGCTTCATCCATTATCTTCTCAGCCTCGGGCCTGAGCAGGCATTTCAAAAGAGGGCCTCCGAACGACCGCTTGTACAGTTGCCCATCGATGATTTGGAACCAAGGGGCTTTCCGTCGAACCCTGGCGGCGACTCCAGGGTCTTCGGGCAATTCACCTGTCTCTTTAAACCGTCGGATATCATTGATCCAAAACATCTCGGGGTTTTTCTCTCGGTCCCACTCTTCACAAGCCACTTGCTGGACTTCCAATGGCGTTTCCTCGATTGCTGGACTTCCAATGGCCGACTCAGTTCCTCCTTCTGACAAATCTTAATGAGTTGATCTGGTACTCCTTCCAAGGCGATCTTGGACAATATGTCGGCATCCATATTGTCCGTTCGGGAAATATATTCTATTTCGTAGGCCCCGAGCTCCTTTAACATCTCTACCGCCTTCGCATTATACAGGGTCATCCGGGCGTTCTTAGTCTCACATGTGCCGGAGATCTGCCCGACTACCAACCTTGAGTCAGTTTTGATCCGCAATCGTTCTACCCCCAGTGCCTTGGCGAGTCGAAGGCCATTCAACACTGCCTCATATTCGGCCTCGTTGTTGGACGTAGGGAACAAATAGCTCAGGGCGTAATACAGTCGGAATCCCTCTGGAGTGATTAGCATGACTCCGCCCCCACAATGTTGTCGACTGGCAGCTCCATCCGCGTGCATCTCCCACCATTCGCCTAGACCATCTTCCGAGATGCGTTCTTTTTCTTCCTCCCCCGGAGTGCATTCGACCAAGAAGTCAGCCAAGGCTTGACCTTTTATAGAAGGTCGTGGCTGATACTCGATCCCGTACTGTGTTAATTCCACGGCCCACTTCACCAGGCGACCGGACGACGAGGGGTTCCGCAAGACGCTCCCCAACGGTTGGTCAGTCAGCACTCGGACAGCGTGGGCTTGGAAATAGGGCGCTAACTTGCGCACAGTGATTACCAGCGCGTAAACGATTTTTTCCAAGGCCGTGTACCGTATTTCGGCGGCCTTCAAGGAGCGGCTCACGTAGTATACCGGGTGCTGGGCACGTTCCTCTTCTCGGACCAGCACTGAGCTCACCGCCTTGGGGGAAGCGGCCAACTATAAAAACAGAGGCTCACCCACCTGGGGAGTGGATAATACTGGAGGCGTAGAAAGGTACTGCTTCAACTCCTCAAACGATTGCTGGCACTCGGCTGTCCAGGCGAAGCCTTCCTTCTTCTTCATGGCCTCGAAGAAGGGTACAGTTTTATCCGCCGCCTTGCTCAGGAAGCGACTGAGGGCAGCTAGTCGACCAGTCAACCGTTGTAGGTCTTTGACGGTACTGGGAGGCTGCATGTCAATGATGGCTTGGACCTTCTCAGGGTTAGGCTTGATGCCTCGCTTAGTAACCATGTATCCTAAGAATTTTCTGCCTTGCACCGCAAAGGCACATTTCTTAGGATTCAGCCGAAGATTATATCTTATCATCACTTGAAAGCTGTCAGCCAGATCTCCCGCATGCTTGCCCTCTTCCCGGCTTTTGACGAGCATGTCATCCACGTACGCGGCCATGGACTTTCCCAGCAGATTTTGGAACAGCTGTGCTACCATTCGTGTATAGGTAGCCCCAGCATTCTTAAGTCCAAAGGGCATGACTCGATAACAGTACACTCCATCCGGTGTTAGAAATGAGGTCTTCTCCTCATCTGCCGGGTGCATGAAAATTTGATGGTACCCTCTGAAGGCGTCCATGAAGCTTAGCAGGGCTGACCCGACGGTTTCGTCGACCAACTGGTCGATCCGAGGTAAGGGAAACGGGTCTTTAGGGCAGGCTTTATTGAGGTCGGTGTAATCGACGCACATCCGCCAAGCCGGGGGCTTTGGTACAAGAACTACGTTCGCCAACCATTCCGGGTATTTAACCTCTCGAATGTGGCCTGCGGCCAACAGCGCGCTCACCTCCTTTTTTTACAAACTCCCTCCAATCATTGGCGAGATACCGTTTCTTCTGTACGACTGGCCGATGGTCAGGATCCACGGCGAGTCGATGGGCAATGATGGATCGGTCGACGCCGGGCATGTCCTCCGGACCCTAGGCAAAAACCAGCCGGTGCTCTCGGAGCACTTTAATGATTTCTTCTCGCACTTCCTCGGGGAGGCCGACCCCAATTCGGACCCGCCTATCCGGCTGATCGGGGTCGATCTCGACCTCTTCCAATTCTACGGCCGGCTCAGGGCGAGGTATCATCACCTTCTTTGGGGGTCTTTCCGTGATCTCATGGACCTGCATCTCACGCTTGCCCATCCCCCTGCAGGCCTGCAGGTAGCAGTCGCGGGCGACTCTCCTGTCACAACGCACCGTGCCTATCCCACTTGGTGTGCGAAATTTCAAGCAGAGATGTTCGATGGAAATCAGAGCTCCTAGATCCTCCAGACCCGGTCGACCGAGTATAGCATTGTGTGAGCAGGCTAGGTTTACCACGATGAACTTCATACTAAGCTTCTGCACGTCGGGATAACTGCCAATTTCAACTAGTAGGGTGATGGATCCTTCTGCCTCCACCGAGTCCCATGTGAAACCGGCAAGTGGTGTCTTGACTGGATTCAGCTGTTCTCAAGTCAATCCCATCTTTGTGAAAGTCTCGAAGTATAACACGTTGACACTGCTTCCGGTGTCGACCAGGATTCGCTGAACGACTACTCCGTTCACGTCCATTGCTATGACCAGCGCATCTTGATGCGGTGTCTCTCCTGTGGGTAAATATTTGTCGGTGAACGTGATCAGCTCTCGGCACGCTTTCTTCGAGCCCTCCTCACGCCCGTATACTGTTCCGACGTACAGCTGTCGGGCCCAAGCCTTCCTGGTATTCGCCGAGTCGCCGCCCTCAGGTCCGCCCACTATCATGTTGATAACCGGCTTCTGACGCCACTGTGCCTCGTCTTCCTCAAGAGCCGGCTGCTTGCCCCGACCGCTCTCCGCGGTGGCGGTGGGATCCCTGTCCTCCCGCGTTGCCGACCTTCGCCTCCACTGATTAGGAGGCGGGGTCCCTTGCTGGATGATACCCTCCATGATGTTCTTCAAGTAGAAGCACTCTTCCGTGCTGTGAGTGTAAGATTTGTGGTAATGACAGTATTTAGAGGTCTTACCTGCCTCATCGTTTACTGTGTGGTCGTCAATCGGCGGAGGCGGAGGTGGAGCAACTGCTTGTATCTCATGCACTGGCCGTTCAAGAGCCGGCCGATAGGGGTGCACGACGGGCCTGTTGTATGGTCGTCGGACCTCGGGTCGCCGAGTCGCTTCCAGACGCCTCTCTTTGATCTCGGCTCGCGTCCTCTTTCCGCTGGCGGATCCCCCAACTTCGCGTTGTCGTTTATGCTTCATGGCCTGCTCGGTGTTGGCCCTCTTACTGGCCATGTGTATGGCTTCTGCGTAGGTGGCCGGTCGGTTATCCCGCAGATCCCGGTATAACTGTCCGGATCGTAAGGACTCGATGAAGAAGGTGAGTGCGGTCTGGTCCTTGACCTCCTCGATAGATTGGATTTCTTTCTGCCAGCGAGCCAGATAGGTCTTCAAAGACTCGCCTTCCTCTTGATGGACATCGCCCAAATGTGTTAGGTCTTTCTGCTGCTTGATATTAGCTGCGTAATGGCTCATGAAGCGATCCGCCAGCTCCTCAAAATTATGGATCGACCCCGGAGGCTGGGCCACTAACCATCTCTGTGCCGAGCCCTTTAACGTGGGTAGGAAGGCGCGGCACATGATGGGGTCCCGGACACCCAGGACTTGCATCTTGGCTTGGTAGCTCAGCAAGTGTTCTCGAGGATCACTGGATCCGTCGAACGTGGCTTGCTCTCGGAACTTAAAGTCACCCGGCATCTTGAATGTTATGATCTCGGTTGAGAAGGGCAAGGCGGTCAACAACGTTCGACCGGGGGATTTGGTCCTCCCCTCCACCTGCTCTTTTAGGTTTCGCACTTCCTGGACTAGGTGCGCTACTTGGCCTCTATCATGGATATGGTTTCCTGTCGACTCCGTGCTTTCGCCGACTTCAGATTCGGCCGGTTGGCCATTGTTGCGGACATGTTGCTCTGTATGACGAGCTCTAGTTCTGGTTCTTCGGGTGTGAGCTCTCTCGCGCCCGGCTTCTCGATCTTGAGGGCCCGCCGGTGCACAGCTGGGCTCCCTCCGTCCCAGTCGTTTTCTCGCCGACTGTCGTCCAGCATTCGGGCCCAGCCGGGAGTGGACTGACTGTACCGGCTGACTTTCAGCCCGCCGATTCTCCCGCCGGTCTTCCGGCCTCTGGGATGGTTGCGGATCGTGGCGTGGTGGTCGAGAAACGGATTGTTCTCTTACTTCTCGACGTGCCTCTGCGAAGGCTCGCCCGATCGCATGGAGTTGCTCCGGGGTGAGAGGTACCTGAGGCAGCTGTTGGTTCACTGGTGGTGCCGTCTCGTTCTCCCGGCTTTGAGCATTTCGCTGGTTCAACTGGTCCCTCATATCTGTTTCCACTCCATTATTGCGGTTATTCGCTTGGTCTCGTCCCTCTGACATGCTTGTGACGCTTTTCTGGTCGACCTCTGGACTCGCCTCGCTCAAAGAGTTACGTAGCTCTTTGTATCGATCCCCACAGACGGCGCCAGTGTTGGTTTTTGGGTTTTCGGGCCCAATGAGGTCCAACAAAACCTTAGTTGGTGGATTCACCTTTCGCAAAGGATTGTAAAAGAAGTGGAAGTACTCGTAATGACTTCAAGTATCTCTCTCCTTTTCTGGGGATCAACTCCCTTTTACACGGGTGGAGGAGCCTTTATATAGCAGGCTCCCCTCCTATCGACTTGAAGGCCATTAATGGTCGACCTCAAAGCTAATTACATTTACCGAACCGTTGGCCACCGTTACCAGGTCGGCCAACGGCTCTTACGGATTTGTAACAGTCCGACCGAGTCCTGTCTTTAGTGCTCCTAACGGTTCCTGGGCCAGGTCCCTTAAATGAGGCTCTTCAATGCCCTCAACGGCTCTCTGAACCGGTTCTCTTTTCTAGGCTTGGGCCCTAGACGACTCCATGACTCGGCCCGGACTCTCGCTGGGCTCCTTAACGGCATCGAGCCGAATCTCCTATGCTTGGGCCTGGGCCGGCTCCTTGACTCGGCCCAAGCACCTACCGGGCCTCTTTCGATGTAGGCCACGTCTTTTACCTTGGATCCCTCTCTTGGGCCAATCTTTCTTGGGCCGGGGTTTTCACCCCATCAATATGAATTTGAGAATTTTTGATCCTCTGGAATATATATTGTACAACCCTTCTACAAGCCTTGTTGGAATCATACTCTTATATGTTTCAATATAGCAAAGCCTTTCACATGATCAAGAGTAAAGGCGGAGAAAAAATAATCGTGACCACGGTGTTTACCGTTAAAGTCGTGGTGGGGGAACTGGTTATTCGGTGTCCCTCGTCCAACCGTCCATTTATCTCGTCGTCGACCGTTTTTCTACGACCGACTTCTTGACCCTCCCGGTCGAGTCCCTTAGTGTGATAGACTGACCATTCTCTTGCTATCAACTATTGAGTACTTTAAATCTGAACATTACGTCTAACTTACATAAGTAATAAGGAGTACCTTTTTTAGACGTCAACATGCATCCGACTTTGCTTGATTCTCCTTCGGTCATCTTTTTGCTCTACTGCTTTTCGCGAACCATCTCAGGCCGACGCTTTCCGGTTAGCCCAGACAAAGAGGTAAACGCGACCTTTTGTCACGATCCTCACATACGGCGCCAGTGTTGGTTTTAGGGTTTTTAGGCCCAGGGGGGTCCAACACAATCATGGTTGGTGGATTCACCATTTAGAATAAAGCTATGGACTTAGAAGAAATTAGACACTGTGATTTTGACGTGGAAACCGAAAGGTGAAAACCACGGGCCTTTTTGGGCGATGCCAAGTCAAGACTTTCACTATTCTTGTAGGTATTGGTACATAGTATATGGCTATTTTGTACATGTAATATTGTGTAAGAATAAAGCTATCTTTGGTACCAAAAGATGGAGTATGCTTCTTGGTGAAATGGAGTCTTCTTGTTGTGAGAGTGGGAGAGTGTGGGTGGTGAGACCTTCTTGTTGAAAGGTAGAGTGGTATGAGAGAGTTCTTTCCCTTTGGGAGAGTGATGGAGTCTTCTTCATGCGTCATGTGATGATGGAAGAGTTCTTTTGGATGGGAGAGTGGTTGTGGGAGAGTGATATTGTAACACCCCGAAATTTTTCAACTTTTAAGACTTATATAATAAAGGTAAATTCTCATTAAATCCCAAAGCATAATATAATAGAGTACGGGGTGCTATGCCACACCTGAGCTGGAGAACTCAGGTGCACAGGCTAACTAACTAATATCCTCAATAATGTAAATACATAAGCACGGCACGCAGGCCGAAAGGGAAACTATCTACTCTATGCTTCAAGTCTCTAGCGCGCTCCAGTGTCTACTCTTCTGTGCCTGAAAGCCAAATATATCTGTTCAGCGAGAGATGCTGGTAACCCACTCCAACGCGTTGAAATATAGTGTGTATATATATATATATATATATATATATATATATATATATATATATATATATACAAAAATCATTTCGAAGCAGGAAGACATATACTTAAGAGACACTAGTTTTAAAACCAGGAATAGACTCAGCAAATAGGGGTAAGTACATCAGACAACAACAATAACATCATAAGGAATACGCATTTACGGTCACAAGCCACTTCTCAATTCCAATCCACATCATCATCCAATCATCATTCATATCACATAATCATCGATGGCGCCACGGGACCAATCGCATGCCCCGAACATGAGGGTTAATGCCTATAGCATTAACACGGCCCCGTAGCACACTACCTCAGTACCGCGGTATGAGGGGAGTTGATCGCAACCAACCCTTTGAGAACCGCTGACGAACTCAACGTCGGACCACGATCCGACACACCGCTGACGCGCCCAGTCGGTGGACCGCGATCCCCTTTACAAGGGGGGACTTACGACCCTACACACCGTTGATGCGCACAATCGGTGGGCCTTAGCGGATCAAGCCCGACACACCGCTGAGCTAAATTCAGTCGGTGGGCAAGGATCCTCGGAGACTACGGTCCTACATACCGATGTCCCACCACTCAGTGGGTCGCAGCCAGTCGTAGCCCTACACACCGCCTGATTACTCAGGTCCGTGGATTACAACCTTCCTCGGCTTGTTGGCCCCATACCGCCTGGCGCATCCCGGTCGGTGGGTCATATCACCGAGGCCCATGTGGACCTTCAGTCCTATACATAATCTTTATATACCTGACCGGTCTCTACCAGCCTGGTTAACAGTTGGGATGGTTCTCAACCCATTCAACTGCCCGTATAGTGGATCTCAGTCCTATATCATATCAATATCCCTGACCGATCTTAACCAGCCTGGTTAACAGTTGGGATGGTTCTCAACCCATTCAACTGCTCGTATAGCCCAATTGATCTTAACCAAGTTGGGGTCATGTATCACATAACACACAGTAGCACGTAATAACACATAATTCACATAGGGAGGGGGAGACATATAATTAAGCTTACTTGTGATCATTCACACACTAAGAACAATTCCTAAGGGCTCATATAACTTCCACCTAGCTCCATGGGTTACCAATTCAACTAGCATGCAATTCCTAAGACTCGTTTAACCTACGAATGGTACCCGAAATTCCAAACTTGACTCAGGCACGACAAACGGGGTCCGTTGGGACACCATGGGGGACGGGAAAAATCAAACGGGGAAGCCGGGGACCCGAGGTGGGGTATGGACCAGCGGGTAGCCGGTGGGTGGGGGTCACCCGCCGGCTGCCCGCCGGTGGGCGCTGTTCCGGGCAGCGGGTAGCCGGCTGCCCGCTGCCGGGCAGCGCCCTTTTGGGCAGCGGTAGGAGGTGGGTTCCCCCACCCCCACCTACCCCCCACTGACTCATTCATCACAAATCTGTCTTGGATCCTTTGTGGAACCCGAAACCATGCTTAGACACTTTTAAACACAAATAACGACATCACATAAGCAATTAATGGATCAAAAGCAAGAATCATGTAGGACTTATCCTATATATAAACAACACCCGATCATGCGAATTCCCACCCAAATATAAATCAAGAACGTCACAATACAAATTCCCAATCATCAAGAACATATTTTATCTTTAACATCAAGAAAATATCAAGATTCGTCAAGAATCATCACATCATAATCAAGAATTTCCTTTTAACATTAAGATCATCAAGATTATCAAGAAAGCATATAAACCATCTTATCAATCATCAAGAACATAACATAATTATCATAGAAGAATTCAATCGAGACACAAGAATATAGAGGGAGGCCAAGGAAGGAGATTATAGCGAAGAAAATAGGTTTTGTTGAGACATGGGTTACTTCTTAGCCTTAATTAATTTCCTTGGCTATGAAGGGTCTTTCTTTAGGATTTCTCCTTTCTTGATTTCTCCTAGGGGAGTTCCTAGAACTTTCTTGTGTGGTGAGGGATTATTTGTGGTGTGAGTTCTAGGTGCCTTCTATGTCCCTATTTATATAATTAAGAGTCCTAATTATGGTCTAAGTGGCATGGGTTTACTAATCCTATTCCTTATAGGACTAAGGGGTTGGCTTTAGTGATAAGGGCCCATGGACCATGGTGGACCCCTTTTTTGGCTAATTAATGGGTTTTAATTCCCTTTTTAGCGTGGGTGATAATTTAATTCATTTTAATTTAGGGGCCTTAACACGGGGTGTTACAGATATGTCCTCTCTTGTGGTAAAGAATAGTAGGTGGTCTTCTCATCATGTAAGGATTAATGAGCGTGGTATAGGGAGAGTGATGTGAGTAGAGTCCTCTCCATGTGAGGGTGGATTAGATGTCCCCCTTCTTCTTGTCTTCTCCTCCTTTTTATAGCTAGTCAAGGTTCAAGATTATAGCCGTTGGGGCATGTAGTAGGGAATTTATGGGTGGTTTTAATTGGGTAGTAAATAGGAGTCTATGTGAGGGGTTATGGAAATTAGAAATAAGGAGGGTATTTAGTGGGTTTGAATAGGGAAGTAAATGGGGTATTTTGACCGGGCTTAGATGGGTTAATCGGGGTTAGGCGGTCCAACTCGGCCCAAATATCGGGTATCCATCACATGTATTTATGTATGTTATCCGTTTTTAAAATGTTATAAAAGTGTAATTTAGATCTAATGTTGTAATTATATTTATTTGTTGACTTTATATAATGTTATAAAAAATTTTAAGAACATTTTTAAAAATCACCCTTGGAGGACGGTTGTCAATGGACAAAGATTGATGAACTTATTTGTCACTATAGTACTAAAAAAAAAAGTATTAAACAAAACAAGTAAATTGTGATGCAAGGAGCATTCATTTGATGAAGCAACTTTTATAAAAATGGTATAAATGCGAGAGATAGCAAGATATGTCTAAGCCACCCTATTCATTTTGCTTTAAATTGAAACATTGGGGGAATGGACAATCGGTGGCAGGTTAATTCAGGTGAAACCTGAAAGTGCAACTCTCCGACCGTTTACATAAATCAACAAAAATGCAATTTCTGTGAGAGTGGTCCACTCTGATTTTCTTCAAGGAAGATTTGGAAATCCATTTTCCCCTGCAATAGTATGTTTTACTTGTCATTTTTCCCAAGTCATGCTAAAAAAAATTATTTGAATATGCAATGTCTAAATTTTCTTGATGAACGTGTTGTAAGTAGTAACAGAACAATAGAAAACCTATCCAATGAGCAGTAACTACCCAACTACATGTTGTTGGGCTTCTCAGTTTTGACCCATCTAAACCCGAACCGCACCACTACTTATACGGGCTAACAGATTATACCCAAAAACGTGTTTATTTACATATTTGGACCCAGTTCACATGACACTGCATGCATTCGGATTCTCATCGCTAAACATTTGAGGGGCATGAGGGTAATTGTAGAAGGGCTGATAACCCGTCTGACACGCATACGGGTACGGATCCTGATTATACGGATACCCCATCTGCACCTGCAGTCTATTCCCTTCCACCACCACCACCTTCCCCCCTCCTCCTCCACCGTCCTTCTCGCCACCAGCATTCTCTTTCCCGCCTTTCTCCTTCTTAGGAGGCACTATCTCCACATTCTTCTTCAGATGCTTCTTCAAATCCTCCACCATCGCCTTCACGTTCATTTTCCCAGTCACGGTCACTAGATCCTTTTCTGGATCCACCTTCATCTCCAAGTAGCCTGAAAAGCGGTTAACCACCTCATAAAAACGACGAAAAAACACTTTAATAATGCACTTCAGTCTTCAGTGAGATTTTGATAACCTCACCTCTGGTTCTGCTCACTGTCTTTTGAATCTTCTGGATACATCCTTCACAGTGTAGGTTCATCTTCAGCACCACCGTAGTGAGCGCCGGCTGTCGGAAATTCCCCAAATAAATCAATATCAGCTAAAGTAAAACACGAATTATGCATTAAATTAAAGCTGTTATAAATCATAAATGAAGACAATGACCTCCCAAGGGTTTAGACCAAACTGTACCCATGAGCATAAATGAATAATCTAAAGAAGAGGTGTAGTAAGTATAGAACATTTATGGTGAATGGTAGTGTGATGTGAAATGTGGAAAACCAAAGAAATAATGAATGCAGTCTATGGCGGAAAAAGGTCTAACGTGCGCTTCAAGCACCAGATTTCACCGGTTTTCCCGGGAAGAGATAGATGATGAAATGCGTGCATCAAAAACTAAATTGAAACAGAAGTCTGTGTGCAAATTAAATGCATGCTAAAATGCGCAGGGCTATGTGCAACCGGACAAAACAGAGGTGAGAACAGACTGGAAGAAATGTCTAGTGAAAGCGACTGGCGCGCAGTAGGGAGCAGCAGTAGCATATGGAATCAGTGCTGTGGAACCGTACCTCTTTCTCTTTGTCCTTCTTTTCTCCATCGTTTCCGTTTTTCTTCTGTTTTTCACCTCCGTTTCCGCCTTTTGCCTGTGGAGAGACCAGCACAATTTTTTTGTGCGTTTTGGCCTCCACTCTCTCCCGGAGCTTCTCCGGATCCACTTTCCCGATCACCGTCACCTTATCCGAGTTGCCGTCGATATCCACGGTCTGAACACCTTTTCATCCAGAAGCAAGCACGAATTAGGAGGAAAGCAGTTGAAGTTCAGATGAAAAACAGGAAACTCATCTTATTAATATGACGAGTACTGAAACAGATAAACAAGGATTTACTCACCATCGTAACTCCGAATAGTTTTGACGATTTTGGAAACACAACCTTCGCAATGCAAATCGGCCTTGAGAACCACGGTGATGCTGCCGTCGCCGCCGCCGCCTCCGTTCTCCTGTTCTCCTCCTCCGCCGCTGCTCTTGTTCTTCTTCTTCTGCAACACGCCATCACCATTCATGAGAACAAATTCAGTCTCCCAAAATGAAAAATAGGCACAGAAATTATTTCTACAAAAGGAGAGAGAGAGGTCTTACCCCACCCATCCTGAAAGTCTGAAACCGCCTTTCCCGATAGAATTTGGAATTTGGAAACAAAGTGGTGAACCGTGAACGTAAAACGTGTGAGTATATATAGGGCTCCTCACTCCTGGCTTTGGAGGAAGGAAATAGCATAGAAGGATTGACGCGTGCCTACTGCCTGGTCGGAAAATGAAAAAATGAAATATAGAAATATTTAGAATATGAAAGAAAACTCATTATTTTCTAGCAAAAACGTTCACTATCAAGGGTTTGTATCCGAGGACCGACCCTCACCAAGTTCTTACACCGAGTTTTTATTTTTGGGGCCATTTCTTTTATTAGGGGTAAAAAGTATTTTCTTTTAATAATTTAATTTAGACGATAAAAACATAATATTTATTAATAAATTCAAAATATAATATATAAAAAATTATCAACATAGAAAAATACAATTCAAATTTTTTTTTTTTTACTTTAAATGTAATTTTTTAACATATTTAGATGCAAAATCATTCACCAAATATTTGATGTCATTTCCTTTCAAAATTATATATATATATATATATATATATATATATATATATATATATATATATATATTCTTTTATTACTATTAAAAACAATGAACTGAATTAAAAAATATAATTATAATTTATTAAATAATGGATAATATATGATTAATTTTTAAGCATATCATATATATGGAAAATGTTATTTACACAACATATGCCACTCACAAACTTGTCATTCACTAATGTGGTAAGTTTTAATAGGTTAATTATTTTTTTTTTAAATCTCAACCAATTAAAACTTGCCACATTAGGAACGACAAGTTTTTGAGTAGTAATGTAGAGGTATCTAGCATGATCCTATGGTTACTATTTAATCAATCTGGATGGCCTGAATGATCGTACATTCTCACCTTTAAAAGAGGTTGAGAATTCAAAAATCTCATCTCGTATGAAAAATCAATATAACTAACACAAAAAAAATAGGTATTTATTTATTTAACTTGTATTAGAGGGTCCATATAAAATGTATATTGTATATATAGGTAGTGAAATATCCTATTTTGAGTGGTAGAAAATCAAGAAAGAATTTGGGAATGCAATGGCCAATGGAGGAAGCGTGACTTAATTAGTTGACGACAATAGCGTGGACTTAGCAGTTGACTGCATGTGCGTGTTTATAGAATTATAGGTGTGGAATTTTTCGTTTGGGCTGGGTACGTGAACCACCAGGAAACTTCGGTATGTCTTAGGTTCAATTGTTATATCATAGACCCTGGTTCATATCAATCATTATTGTATGGACCATGGTCCACACAAGTTGTGTAGACCATATTTTGTCTACTATAAAATAATGTACATTCAGTACAAAAATAATGTACATTAAGTACAAAAATAATGTATATTGTATATAGGGGATATACATTATTTTTGTTCTGAGTACATTATATTGTATAATGTACATTCAGTACAAAAATAATGTACATTTAGTATATTAGAAATGTACTTTTTTGTTATGGTCCACATAACATTGTGTGGACCATGGTCCATACAATAATTTGCCGGTTCATATTGCATTAGAAATTTTGGTAAAAATTTTTTATGTTTATAATTAATACTAGTTTTTCTATGCGCTTTGCGCGAATAAGATAATGCCCAATACTTTTTAAAATAAGTATTTCAAAGTATATCAATACAATATTATATAGAAGATGTTCATGCATAAAAAAAAATGTTGAATTTATTTATTTAAATCGGTAATTTAAAGTATATAAATGCAAGATAATATATGAGAGATTGATTATATATAACTGTCACAAAAATAAATGTTTACAACTTTGTAATAACGTTAATCTAAAAGCGATAGTCTAACTAAATACTCTTTTTGGTTTAAATTTCTAATTCTCTTTTGGATAGCATTGTTATTGTTTTCATCTTCAGTACATGTCCTTTTTTTCAATTATTGATAGTGTGACATGTGCAATTGGGTTATTTGTGGTATCACAGAGGGATTCATCATGCAATGAGATTATGATGTATGAAGTTTTAGATTTGTCTTGTTGTGTATATGATTGAGATCTTAGTTGTGCTATGAACTCTTTATCTTACAAGCACATGTTGATATTTGGTAGTGGTAGTTTTCCCTACATGTTTCATGTGTTGTGAGACATCTAATTCTAAATTAATTAAATGCATATGTATTATTTTTTGTTGTAGCTACTAATTTATTTTTAAATTTAAGTAATAAGAGCAATAAAGTGGGCAAATTATGCTATGGAACCGTGTCCACCTTGCAAGGTGGACATGGTTCTAAAACTGTTCATAGTTATGAATATATAGTTCAAAAATTATGAACATATAGTTTTATAGTTATGAACATAGAGTTGTGAACATAATTGTGAACATATAGTTTTGTAATTATGAATATAGAGATTCAATAATTGTGAATGTGAAGTTAAAAAATTATGAATATAGTTATGAACATATAATTCAGTAATTGTGAATATAGAGTTCAATAATTATGAATATAGAGTTCAATAATTATGAATATGAAGTTTAAAAATTATAAATATATAACTTTATAATTATAAACATATAATTCAGTAATTATGAACATAGAACCGTGTCCACATTGCAAGGTGGACACAGTTCCACAACATAACGATTGAATAAAGTGGCGTACATACTTTTCATCGACAATAATGAAATTATTGATTTTTTTTAATTTCCATTCATTGTTGAGACAAATTGTTTTGAGAGTTTGTCAATGACAATTGCTGTCAATAGATGATGATAATAAATAATTCAAAATATAATGTTACAATAGATATTATTATAATAATATAGTAAAAATTAACTTACAAATTTCTTTAGAAGTTTTCATGCAGTGATAAAAGCATAATTGAAATATTAAGTTTTGTTCTCAATAATCAAAAGAAGATTAATTAAACGAAAAAAAAAATTAAACTTAAATTTATTATTTTTTTAATGGAAAAATCAAATAATTTTCAAAGTTCTTGATTTATAATCATTGAATGCTATGTATTTAGTCGAGCTAATTATTTGACCAAAATTTATGTTAAATTTTATATTATATTTTTAATACATTTTAACATATTCGTAGTATATGTTTAACAATTATGCTAACTCTAATTGGAATGAGGTTCGAACTTAAGATCTTTCTTATAGAAATTAATAAGTTAAGAATAATAAATAGTTAACGGAATATTCCGTTAATAAAGTTAAAACTAACGGAATTTAAGGTTATTTAAGGAAAGAAAATAATATAATAAAGGGTAAATAAGGAAAATCATTAAAAGTATTAAAATCAAATTAATATGAACCATTCATTTTAAGAAACAATTAGTACCGACATTTTTTTTTATTCCAGTTAACGGTCTAACATTATTCGCTCTTATTAGAATTGTAGATGTAGATACTTTATATTTGTAATTAATAATTTATATATATGTAATAAATTGAAGATAAATAACATGGTAATTACAGGCACATAACACCATAACTATAGATACATAAATTGTTAACTGTAGTTACCGAATATATTAACTGTAGACACATAAGATGTTGGTTAACATTTTATGTATCTGTAATTAACATATTCTGTACCTGCAGTTAAATGTTTACGTGTTTATAATTATTATTTGATGTGCTTTCAAATTGTTTACATGTATAGAAATGGTTAATTGCAAGCACAGTCATACATAATGTGTCAACTTTAGGTATACAATCTAAAGGTTATTTTTGGACCAGAGTCCACAATACAAAGTAGACCTGATCAATGATATAATTTGGAATTAGTGACTGTCATGCCCTCAACAATGTCGTAATTATCAAATTGGTCATAGACTATCAATTTTGACCAATTAAATCCTCAACTATTTATTCCATTGATCCTCCGTCAAACTAGTGGATGACCAATTTAGTAATTACGGAGGGCCAAATTGATTACAAAATCAATAATTAAGAATTTATTTGGTCAAAATTGATAATCAATGACTAATTTAATAGTTATGACATAATCGAGGGATAAAATGATCATTAATTTTATAATTTGAGTCTTAGGTTGGTGTTAGTTAATAAAACGGGCCTACAGTGACCCTAGTGGAGGCCATCGTTCGCTATTGGGACTTTCTTTCAGTACATTCTGTCGGTTGATAAAATAATAAATTCTATTTTGTTTGTTTTGATACCAAAATGATAAATAATAAGTTAAATCTACTATATATCTACTATCTACTATATCTACTATACTAATAAGAGCCCAAGAGAGTTAGGCCTATAATGGGTAGAAAAAATGGCGGTCACATATTTTAATCAAATGAATGGCTCACATTGATTAAAAGATTTATAAGATTTAAATTTTACACTAAAATTTTCTAAAATACCCACACACCATTACTAATTCCGTTAAAATTTTAAGAATTGCCGTTAGTTCACCGTTAACTTACTCATTGATTTCAATAAAAAAAAAAGGTCTTAGATTCGAACCTCATCCCAATCAAAGTTGGCATAATTAGTACTCTATTTTACTCTTATTAAATTATATAAATAATAATTTAGTAGCTACAACAAAAAATTATAGATATGCATTTCTTTAATTTAGAATTATGTGTCCACAATGCCTTTATTCAAAAAAAATTATTCATTATCAATAAATTAAATAAGAGAAATAATTGTATTAGTTATATTGTCTTTATTTTTCTACAATATAAAAATTCTTTATATTCAAATTTATTAATTGATTATATTCGCTACATTGTCCTTACAATGTCTTAATTCAGTAAAAAAAAAAATTATTCATTATCAATAAATTAATTAAGAGAAATATTTTCATTAGTTATGTTGTCTTTATTTTTCTCAAATGTAAAAATTTTTACATTCAAATTCATCAATTGATTATATTCACTACATTGTCCATTATCTTTTTTGTGCACTATTTTTCTAATTAAATATCAAAGTTATAATACAAAATAATGCTATATATTTATTTACCAAGTATTTTATTAATACCATGAAAAAATTAAAAAAATATATATAATTAATAAAGCCAACCATATTAACTACTTGAGAGATTTTGTGACAAAGAGAGTATTCAA